ATCAATAAATAAAAAATAAAGCTGACTGTGGTGACAGTTGTACAACTCTGTAAATTTACTAAAAATCACTGAATTGTATATTAGAAACAGGAGAATCTCATAGTATGTTAAGTTACACCCTAATAAATATATTAAAGATACTTTCCTCCCCTAGTGTTGAGGTCTCTGTGTTAGAAGCCAAGTGTTGAGGAACCCCTTAGCTGGGACCCAATCTCAACTAGATGTCCTCCTCTTCCTTCTCTCTAGGTCAAAGTTTCCTCTGATCTCAGACTTTCAGGAAGCTGCCAGCAGTCGCCGTGTCTTCTTTTTTGGAGAAGTCTGGAATTTAATTCTGTAGACTCAGCTCATGTAAACATCCCGGTCTTGGCCTTTCTGCTCAAAGTAGAAAAACAATGGGTATCCTAGGGAATAGGTGGGAGCATGGAGGAAACAATCCAGGTGTTGTCTACTCCTGTCCTGATATGATCAACTGCCACCTGGAGATGCTGAGCACTAATTCAGGTCAGGGACTGAATATGGATTCCCAAGGCCCTGGAAAGACCACATTCCCCTGTTGTGCTCAGGTTGACCAGTTCTCCAAACACGTCATTCCCTTCTACACCTCTAGGTAGAGGCCATACCCTTTCCCTTTCCTTGCCTTCCTGGAAAATCCAATTCTATTAGCAAGATTCAGTTCATTGTCAACTCCTCTGAAGCCTCCTTCCTTAAACACCCACTTGCCTGGCTGTCCCTGGGAGCGCTTATCTGCCTGTGGCCGAGGGTTTTTTGTGATCTGCCTCCCCCAATGCTTTGTGGGCTCTGAAGACAAAGGGCCTGTCTTACCTGTTCTCAAGGCTCTCAGATGGGCTCAGTACATATGGGTCTGGCCACGTGAAGCAATGGAGGGAACACACACCATATCAGATGTTCACAGGGCCAGGAAGACCAGAGGAGACGCCCATTCCCCTCATCTATTCTTAGCTTAAACAACTTCTGCCATCTGGTTCCAGAATGGCCAGAGAGCCACTCCCTGTTGCAACCACACTTTGGGCTGGAAGCCTCCCTTCCACAGCTTTCCTGGGGCCAGGCCCACTTGCCTTGGACATTGCCTCAGTGTAATTTCAACCTCAGAGAGTCCTTGATGCGCAACTCCTGCTCTTACTACACTGGCAGAGAACAGGGGGCTAAGATATATGGTATTTTTTTCAATGTATTATTTTTGACATAATAGTATACACATTTAGGGGGCACAATGTGACACCTCAACACACATACACAATGTGTGATGATAAGATGAGGGTAACTGGCATCTCCATCATCCCATTTCTTTTTTTTTAAACTGCATATTTTCTTGTATTTCTAAATATATTGCATTTTAACCAAAATTAAATAGTAAACTTAGTAGCTGTGCGTATTTATGCCTGTAATCCCAGTGGCTTGGGAGGCTGAGACAGGAGGATTGTGAGTTCAAAACCAGCCTCAGCAAAAAGCGAGGCACTAAACAACTTAGTGAGACTCTGTCTCAAAATAAAATACAAATAGGGGCGGGGATGAGGCTCAGTGGCCGAGTGCCCCTGAATTCAGTCCTGGGTAAAACACACACACACACACACACACACACAAATAGTAACCTTAGTGAAAAACAATATAATAAATTAGGTTCCATCACCTCACTTCTTTGTGTTGAAACAGTCCAAATCCTTTCTACTGAGCTAGTATGTTTATGTTCTGCTTCAGCATGGAGGCCAGCCTTTGTCCTGAGTTGAGACCGGGGTCCTCACAGGCCCTGGCAGTGAGTTCCTAGCCTGGAATGGCTACATGATTTTTTAGGGACCAGAGTACAATGAAAATGTGAGAACTTTTTTCAAAACTTTGAAGGATTAATATGGTGACGGAAGCCAGGGACACAGCTCAGCAACAGAGCGCCTGTCTAGCCATGTGTGAGGCCCAGGGTTCCATCCCCAGCACTAAAAAAAGGAAGAGTGACAGAACATTAAGCACAGGGCCTTTCTAAACCCACGAGGCTGCCCTGGTCCCAGCTGGAGGATCCTGCTTATCTCAGCCACCTAGCCCAGGCCTGCTGTCAGCAAAGCTTCTTGGTCCAGAAACATTGCTGGAGAACTTCAAAGTCCCAAAATCTTTGCTGAAAGCTTCATCCCTATCTTGGGTGTAGAGGATTCCAGCTGGTGACAGAGATCAAACAGGCAGCTCATGCTTTCCTTGGCCTCCCCAAGGACACTGCCTTGGTGTTCCCACCACAGAAACCAGAGCCTGGAATAGAAATGGGGATACCAGAAAAAAAATCACTCAGACTTCAATTCAGTGTGATTGACACAGGCTGAGCATGATGGCTATAAGGGCACACAAGCCCCAGCTCCCACCCATATGTAGCCCACAGTCTATAGGATAAAGATTGGTCAGATACTTGAGCATGGGGCAGCAGGGGAGCACAGAAGAGCCGAGCTGACTTCGCCAGAGATGGGATATCTTTTAGGGAAAGTTGCCAGTGGAGGTGCCATCTAAGGGCTGACTTGAAGCCTGAGGGAAGAGTGAGAGCACACAGCATATGCCATGGTCCAGGGTCAAGAGAGAACCTGGCACATTGAGGAAAATTGCAAGCAGTTCAAGATGGCTGGGACCAGATCAAGAAGAGATAATTTAAAGGTCTCGACTGTGAATGTAATGAATGTAGTAAATGCTCTGCTATGGTAGCTTTTTATAATTACAGGCCTTGCAAGCCAAGCTAAGGGTTTGGGATTTTGTCCTGCACTGAAGAAACACTCAAGGGCTTTAAGCACAAGGCAACTATGTCAGGTTTGCAATATGACTAGACAGATCCCTGTGGCTGAAGATTGTAATAGACTAAAAGAGGGGCACTGCTGGAAGACCAGCAGACCAGCAGACCTCCCAAACCAAGAGGTATGGGAGGTGCGAGGCTTCAAATTTCCCTTAACAATCAAATAGATAAATGCACAGTGGAAGACAAAACACAGCAATGGAAAGGAACTCACTGTGACTCCCCGTGACAACAGATGAGTACTGCAAGTGCACTGCTCATGAGAAGAAGTCAGCCACAAAGTAACACTCTGTGATTTCATTTATATAAAATTTAAGGAAGGGGTAAAGCTCTAGTTTTTAGGAACAAATGCTCAGATGGTACAATTGCAAAAGCAAGGGATAACTGCCACAAAAGCAGTCAGGCCAGGTGTGATGGTGCACACCTGTAATCCCTGCGGCTCAGGAGGCTGAGGCAGGAGGATCACAAGTTCGAAGCCAGTCTCAGCAATTTAGCAAGGCCCTAGACAACTCAGTGAGACCCTGTTTCTAAACAAAATACGAAAAAAGGGCTGGAGATGGAGTTGAGCGGGTAAACGCCTCCTAGGTTCTATGCCCAGTATGGAGGGGTGGGGGAAGATACATTATTAAGCTTCACACTTTTTTTTTTTTTTGAGACAGGGTCTCATTATGCTGCCCAGGCTGGTCTTGAATCTGGTGTGCTCAAGTTATCCTCTTGCCTCAGCCTCCCTGGACTATAGGCATGCAAGCATGCCTAGCTCATGTGTGCTTTTTTTTTTTTAATATTTATTTTTTAGTTTTAGGGGGCCACAATATTTTTTTAATGTGGTGCTGAGCATCAAACCCAGTGTCTCATGCATGCCAGGCGAGCACTCTACCATTGAACCACAACCCCAGCCCATGTGTGCTATTCTTTTTTAATTCTTTAGTAGAGATGGACACAGTACATTTATTTTTATGTGGTGCTGAGGATCAAACCCAGTGCCTCACACATGCCAGTCGAGTGCTCTACCACTGAGCTACAACCCCCAGATTATGTTATTTTTTTAAAAATTTTTTTTAGTTGTAGTTGGACAAAATACCTTTATTTTATTTTTATGTGATGCTGAGGATCGTAGAACCCAGGGCCTTGCACGTGCTAGGAGTGCTCTACCACTGAGCACAACCCCAGCCCCGCCATGTGTGCTATTCTTTTTTTTTTTTTTTTTTGGCAGTGCTGGGGATTAAACCCAGGGCCTTGTACTTGTGACGCAAGCACTCTACCAACTGATACATGTGCTATTCTTAATAAAAGGTTTAAAAAGGAATGAGGCTCCCTCTTTTTGGGGGTGGGGAATTGAACTCAAGGGCACTTGACCACTAAGCCACATCCCCAGCCCTATTTTGTATTTTATTTAGAGACAAGGTTTCACTGAGTGGCTTAGAGCCTTGCTTTTGCTGAGGCTGACTCTGAACTCGGGATCCTCCTGGCCTCAGCCTCCAGACCCCTGGGATTACATGCATGCTCCACCGTTCCTGGCAGAGGCTCCCTCTAAAGTAGTGGAAAGGAAGATGGAGGGAGAAGAATGATTTTGACTGTGAAAAATGAATAGAGGGGGGCTGGGGATGTGGCTCAAGCGGTAGCGCGCTCGCCTGGCATGCGTGCAGCCAGGGTTCGATCCTCAGCACCACATACAAAGATGTTGTGTCTGATGAAAACTAAAAAATAAATATTAAAAAAATTCTATCTTTAAAAAAAATGAATAGAGGAAAGAGATAGGAAATACATCAGAAGGGGAGGCAGATTAAGGTGAAGAGCAAGGACAGGATCCTGGTAGAGTGCCTGGCAGCATGGACAGGGTCCTGGGTTCAAGCCCCAGGACCACAAAAACCCAGAAATATGAAGAGCAGTGCTGAACACTCTGGTTAGAAGTAACCCGGAAGACACTGAAGTGGTAAGTCCATGGCAGCTGGTGAAGTCAGATGAGTCACCTCCCAGGAGTTGGGACTCCATTCCCCACAGAGAGGCAAGCCAGGGAGGGTTAAGGTTCTGATTCTGAGAATACTACAGTCCTGTTACTTCATGGTTGTTCATCCCTGACCTGCCCTAGCCTCAGTTTCTTCATGGGCAGAGTCTAAGCTGTCATTCCTACTCAGAACTCCTGGTAAAACTGGAACAGGCACTCGGGAAGTTTGGTGCCTTGGTTACCAATCAGTATTAATGAGAACAGATAACAATCACTACATGGTTCTTACACTTTAGTGTAAAAATGAACTACTGGTGAGCTTGTATATTTAGGCACTCTTTAGAGTGACTGTAACTCCTGTCTCAGGCAAGGCGTGCCATTTGGTCCTCCGAGGCAGGGTGTGAGATAGAGCCCAGCTGTCTGGCTTCCTAGTCTTCCATCAAAAGGTGAGAGGACAGGACTGCTGCACTGCGGCGCTGATGAAGCTGGCTTGTTCTTGTTTCTGGAGGGCTCGAATCTACATGGAGCTAACATTTATTAAGCACTAAGTGTAAGGTGCTGTGCTGAGTACATCAGCTGCATCACCTCAGGTGACCCTCTCCAACCCCTAAGGAGGTGGGTGAGTTCATCATGTTGTATTGAGGAAGCGAAAGTCGAAAGAGGTTAAATTCTTCAGGTCATGTATCTTGAATCTGAACCCAGACTGCCGAGATGCCTGGTTCTTCGTGGGTTTTTTTTGACCGCCCGCGCCGCCCCAATCTGCAGGCAGCAGCGTCTCGGCATCACGCCTGCGCTCCGGTTCCCTCGGCTCCACACAAGCACTAGTCTAACGGCAGGGGCCAAACCTGCCTCCCAAGCTACGGGCAGTGGGCTCACTCGGCAGGCCAGACGGAAGGGTGCCTATCCCAGGCAGCTCGCCAGCGCCCACCGAAGGCTGGCAGGGGGCGCCCAAAGCTGCCAATCTCTCGCTGGCTCTGAGGCCTCAGCGAGGCTTGCGATCGGGTTTCTGCGGCGCTGGGGACAGTACCCAGGGCCTCGCTCATGCGTGGCCCACGAGCTCTAATGGCCACCGATACGTTGGTGCTGGAAAGCCTCTCCGATGAGTTTAGTATTTAATTTCCTAACTCTCCCAAAGCCGCCTTCATTCTCAGCGCCCCCAAGCACTCTTCCACCGCCCCACGGCTAAGTGTCTTCTACTCCGAGCACTTACAACTCGTGCAGGCGCTAACGGGAGGGTCACTCGCACACAGCCTGGACATGGGGGCAGGGGTGGAACACACTCTGGAACCCTACGCGACGCTGGTCCAGAGAGGGCAAGAGGCTGGCTTGAGGCAGCACAGACCCGCGGAGGCTAGGACCCAGGTGCCCACTACGTTAAGCCTACGTCACCAGGACTCCACCCCCGGGTCGGCGTCTGAGCCCGGGCCCCCAGAAGATTCCAAATCGGCCCCGAGTCCCCTGGTGCGCCCAACTGGGTCCTCTGGACCCTGCAGGTGTACTCTCGGGGGAAACTGAGGCAAGGACGTTGGTGAATTCATTTCTCGCTCTGTTCACAACCCGGGGGGAGCAAAGCTTTTTCCTCTCCTCAAAAACGCTTGGGACAGCAGAGAAGGGAGGAAGGGGAGGGGGTCAGAAACCAGCAAGTTCTAGGGAGCCAGACAGCCCGGCCACACTCAAGATGGCGGCACAGTCGTGGCGAGGTCCCTCAGAGGCGGTACCAGCGCATGCGCAGCGCGGAGTCCCGGCCCGGGACACAAGATGGCGGCAGCGGCGCTGGGGAGGGCGAGGCGGAGGCGGCAAAACGGGAGGTCGAGCAGAACGTGTAGCCGCATCTCTTCAAGTCCGCTCCGGACAGGTAAGAACCCCAGGAAGCCATGGTCTCGCCGCGAGCCGCGCCAGGGTCCGGGAATCCGAAGCCGGGCAGCGGTGGCCTTTCCGGCGCTTTCCGCTCAGGGCTGCCGCTTGCCTGGTCTCTTTCGCCGCCGCCATCTTAGACCCGCGGGTGGGCAGCCGGGCCGGTGGCCGGAGTGAGGAAGGTGGGCCCGGAGAGCGCGGGCGGAGCGGCCTCCAGGGCCCCTCCGCTGCTGCCGCCGCCACCGCCTTTGTGTCGGGCTCCGACTCTGAGTCGCCTCAGCCCGGGGGCGGGAGCGCGCGGCGGGGCGGGGGGCGGAGCCCGGGAGATGGGCCGGCGCGCGCGCGCCAAACAGCCCGCCCCCGCTGGGGTTGGGAGAAGGGCAGGTGCACGCGCGCTGGGCCTCGTCCTGCCCCTCCTTCGCGCGCCCTCGCGCCTGCGTACTTTGCAAGTCCTGTGGCTCCTCTTGTCTGGGCCGGAAAGTTCTGATTGGTACACTACTGAGATGCTCCCGCCTCGTCTTCCTCCAATCCCGGAATCGGACTCTTCCTTCTAGTGGGTTCCTCGGGTTGCGCAGATACAGTTGTTTGTCCTTAGGCTCCGCTGCGCTTCTTGAACTGCGGTACGCTGAGGGTCGGGAGGCCACCTGCGGAATGAGTACATTACGTTGACAAGGACAGCTTCTCGTGCGGAACCCCTTCTCACGAGGGGTTAGGCTCTGCGCAGAGAGGTTGAGCGGTGCCAGTGTAGAAGCCGGGAAGCGGCAGCAGGGCCTGGAACTGTGTCCGACCCTGAAGCTGGTACTTGTATCAGCAGTAAGGCCACAGACTTGTTGCACCCCAAACTCAGCGAATTTATTAATTCTTAAAATTGTTAATTTTGCGAACCCAAGGACTCAAGTATGTCAAGTAAGCGCTCTGCACCAAGCTGCACCCCCCCCTTTAGAGAATTTAAATTGGTAAAGATTTCCAGTGATATAAAGTCATCTAGAGTCCCAGTTCTACCGGAATGTGTGTAAAAATTATAAATTCTCTTGAACCTCCTCTCGCCGTTTCTGGCTCTTAAGATGTGGAGTGAGATAGAGGAATCTGAGGTATTTTCTTTTAAAAGCCCCAAATGATTCTGATGCACAGTTTTGAAAATACTGCAGTGTCCTCATTTGGCCTCAAGCTAAACTGTGCCATCTCATCTAAAAAGTGCATCTACCTGGTGCATCTGTATGACAGGACGTTTCTTGGGAAAAATATTTTTCAATAAAGATGAATGAGATGTGTTATATAATGTGTTTACGTTTTAATTTTTTTAAAGACATTCAGAGAAGTGTGTCTTTCATTCAGTGTGGGTGGCTTGGCCTGGTGCCCTCAGATCTGTGATATGTATGTGTATACGTTTTTTTCTTTGGGCTAAGGATAGTTTATTTGGTGGGTCCCAGTGTGCAAAATGAAATCGTGGGCCCTTTGTTTAAAAATTATTAAAAGCTGGACCAATGGTGTGGCCTGTACTCCCAGCCACAGGGGAGGCTGAGGCAGGAGGATGGCTTGAGGCAAGGAATTCAAGACCAGCATGGGCAACAGAGCAATATGCTGTCTTCAAAGAAAAACGTGTGTATATATACATATAGATACATGATATTTTTTTCTCTTCCTCTTCATGCCCCCACCCCCCTTGGGCAGTACTGGGGATTGGGACACTTTACCACGGAGGTACAGTCACAACCCTTTTTATTTTGAGACAGGGTCTGGCTAAGTTGCCCAGGCTACCTGGAATTTGTGGTCCTCCTGCCTTAGCCTCCGGAGTTGCTAGGATGACAGGCGTGCACCACCACATCTGGTTATATAGATTTGAAAAATTCTGGGCTGGTAGAGCCCTTGCCCAACCAAGCTTTGGGTCCTCTTGAACATGGTCCTGGTGCAACCATGCAGGCCAAAAACCTACTCAGTAAACCTATTGGTTGGAAGACTGGACAAATACCATTTTCATCTCCTGAGTTTCCGGATTCCCTGAGGCCAGCCTGGGCAACTTAGAGTCCCCATCTCAAAAAATGTGTATGTGTTAAAAATTCCAGGCTGGGTTTGTCTACTGCCTGCCGTGTCTTAGTCTCCCAACTTGCTCTTTGTCCTTGTCCCTATTGTCCTCTCCCTGCAACATTTTACAGGTCAGTGACTGTCTTTTTGTTTGCTCTCCAGTTGCTGATACAAGGAGTTCCTTGAGCCCCTGTCCACTCCACTGCTGACCAGTTCACCCACCTGTGCTGAGCCTTCCTCTGCTGCAGGCCTTCCCCAATCTCTGTGGGACCTTGTGACGTGGGGGTCAGTCCAGCTGCAGAAGAAAACCCTCTCATGCTAGCATTGCAGACCCCAGAGGGTGAGAGAAAGGGGACCTCATTCAGCCTTGGAACCTATGGGCTCAGTCCCCAAGGAACAGTTCCAAACCCTTTTGTTGTCAAGGCACTCTTTCGTTGTATATATATCCTGTGCCCCTGCATTTTATCTGCCAAACTGTACTGATGAAGTAATCATTGACTTTTCCCTTTCCAAATTAACAAAGATGACTATGACTAAGTGTACAATAAAATCAGTGTCCCAGTGATTGCTATGATGTCGTCAACAGCCAACCAGAGCTCCTGATCAGCATGAGCTAATCAGTGTGGCCACAATGAGTTGGTAAAATTTCAGCATGCAAAGATAATGAATGTTTAAATCTGCTTTTGTGGTCTTATTGTGGGCAATTGTGACATATTGAAAACAACTCCAGCATCAACAATTTGATCTTGGTTGGCCCCCTAGGGATATAACAATCCCTGGCCAGAAACCGATTTGGTCATCAAAGCTTGTGCTGGGTGTACTTTGGGTGGGGCTGGTAGGGAATACAAATTGAAGGAGCTGGCCTCCTTGCTAGTTCTTAATGCTAGTTTTCACTTGGGGATTCTGAAGAATTGAATTAGGTAGTCTTTTTTGGTTGCACTGGTTCTGTTAGCAACAGATTGCTTCCTGCCCTGTAGCGTAAAACGAGTGACCAATTAGATCCCACGCTCCTTCCCCAGCTGTGCTTTGGTTTACTTATATATCTTCTACTGGATGTGAGCGGTAAAAATCCTCTCAAGAGTAGGAGCTCCCATTCTTTCTTGTAGAAATAGCTTCTCAAGGGCAGACACTGTTCTGTCTTGTTTGCCAGTCTTGATTTGTAAATGTTTACAGAATTAATAGAGCTCCTTTTGGGTCCAGGTACTATGTTGAGCTCTGGAGAGAGATACATTGGCATGAATTCCTGTTCCTGGAAGGGTTAAAAATCTATAATGAGGAGATAAATCCAGTTTACACCAAACCATCTGAGTACTCAGCACTGGTGTTCATGGCGCTGGGGAGGGCCCTGACCATCTAGTCTGGGAGGGAGCAGTTGAGGAAGGTTTGTTGGAGGATGTGAGCCTAGGGGCAAGCCAGGCAGAGAATGAGGGGAAGGTTGTTTTGGGCAGGGGAGCAGCAGAAGGGCACCCAATTTATAGTTGAGGGAACTGCAGCCTAGGTCCCAAGGCTCCTTCTGAAGTACCATACTGGCCTTCCAGAGCAGGACTGGGTTAGATTTCAGCGCATCTGCCGGTGGTCACCAGGGCACTTGGTTGTAATTGGAGGGTGAGATGGAGCTGACTCTTTGGTCCTCTGTGTGGCAGGTCCCGTGTGGGTGCTGAGATGGCCAATGAGAATCACGGCAGCCCCCGGGAAGAAGCATCTCTGCTGAGTCACTCCCCAGGCACCTCCACCCAGAGCCAGCCCTGCTCTCCAAAGCCAGTCCGCCTGGTACAGGACCTCCCAGGTACTGGCAGGGGCAGTGGTGGGCAGTGGGGTAGAAAGGGTCCTCCGAGGGCAGCCATGACCTTGGTGGGTTCTGCGCTTGTTTGCAGAGGAGTTGGTGCATGCGGGCTGGGAGAAGTGCTGGAGCCGGAGGGAGAACCGTCCCTACTACTTCAACCGATTCACCAACCAGTCCTTGTGGGAGATGCCCGTGCTGGGCCAGCATGATGTGATTGTGAGTGCCAGCCTAGCCCAGGGGTCTCAACAGCCTCTGGCACATGGGTCGTCTTCCCCAAGCGTACTCTGAACATCTCTTAGTGCCCAGCCCTGTGCTGACACCAGCAGACACAGTGTTAAGACAGATACAGTCCCTGCCTTCCTGGAGCCTACATTCAAATAGGGCAGACAGACAGACAGATGATTATCATAGAGTAGCACAGTGAAGTTCGGCTACCTGTTGGGCACTGTGCCAGGGAGACAGGTGTGAGAAAGATAGACATGCCGTCTCCCCACAGTTCACTAGAGTGGAGCCATAGGATTACAGGTGCAGATATGTGTGAAGTATGGTGTGAAGAATACAGCAGGGCGGGTTAGGGGTGTTTGCCTAGCATGTGCAAGGCCCTGGGTGTGATCCCCAGCACCACCCAAAGGAAAAAAACCAGACAGCAGGGATCCTGACTTGGTCTGGGGAAGGGGAAGGTACAGGAAGCACTGCTCTGAGAATCAGCATTTAAGGTGAAGTTAACTAAGTGAAAGTGTAAGAGGAGAGAAGAGTGTTCTAAGAACTTGAATGTCAGAGTGCTGAGGAAGGGCAGGGAGAGGCTGTCTGGGGGGAGTATGGGCTTAGGGTTCCTCAGCTGGAGCAGCTTTTATTAGATACAAGCAAGCCACCTGGCATCTCCATTTTATAGATGAAGAAGCTGAGGTTCAGAGGGACCAAATGGCCTGATGCCTCACAGCTAGCAGTAGGCAGAGCAGGAACTCACTTTGCTGTGATTTCAGGACCACATGCTCACATACCACACATACTTTTGGTGTCATCAAAGGAGGTCCACTCACAGGGTCTTGATCTTTTGAATATGAACATTTCTGAGTCTCTTTTATTCCTTTCATTCTTAAGAAAAATAAAATAATGTACCAAGCACCGATCTCATGCTGTATGTTGGACTCGCTGATTCACGTAGTAATCTCCAGTGTGAGGTGGGGCTCTGTGTGGCCATTTGGAAGGTGAGGAAATTAGGAAGGGAAGTAGCTCACCCAAGGCCACACAGTTCCGGGTAGCGGGCCGGAGCAGAGCCTGGTGTTCTCCACCAGCATCCCAGCCTCCGTGTTCTCCGCTGAGTAGAGCAGGGTGGGAGGGCATGAGAGTCCGAAGTACTAGGGCTCCGAAGCACCTGGCCCTGGTTGCAACTCTGCTGGTCTCCCTCCACCAGTCGGACCCTTTGGGGCTGAATGCGACCCCACTGCCCCAAGATTCAAGCTTGGTGGAAACCCCCCCGCCTGAGAACAAGCCCAGAAAGCGGCAGCTCTCGGAAGAGCAGCCAAGCGGCAATGGTGTGAAGAAGCCCAAGGTGAGTGTCCGGGGCTCTCAGGACCTGGCTGGTAAGTGACCAACTCAGGCAGGCAGCCAACAGGCTCCCTGCAAGAGTTGGGCTTAGGCAGGCTGGTCAGGAGGGGGGCCCAGGACACAGCTCACCAGATACGCAGTGTTGGAGCCTGGTTGCTAAGTCTTCTGATCCAGTCCCTTTGTCTCTCTTTTGCTGTAGATTGAAATTCCTGTGACACCCACAGGCCAGTCAGTGCCCAGCTCCCCCAGTGTCCCAGGAACTCCAACGCTGAAGATTTGGGGTGCATCCCCTGAAGATAAACAGCAAGCAGCTCTCCTTCGACCCACTGAGTGAGTCCCTGCTAATTGGCTTGGGGGTGCCCATTGCTAACGGTCAGCTTGCCGGGACTTTGGGGGATATGGTGGCAGCAAGCAGAGCATCTTCATTGCTTCTGTGTGTGCCCCAAGGGTGTACTGGGACCTGGACATCCAGACCAACGCTGTCATCAAGCACCGAGGGCCTTCTGACGTGCTGCCACCGCACCCTGAAGTGGAGCAGTTCCGCTCCCAGCTCATCCTGAAGCTGCGGCAGCACTATCGGGAGCTGTGCCAGCAGCGAGAGGGTAATCCTGGGCCCCAGTCCCCTGGTTTCCAGTCACTCTTAGCAAGAGCCAGGGCTTTGCCATCTGGTCTTAGGGATGGTGCGGGGAGCTTGATGGTCAGAGCGTGCGCTGTGGAGCGGACAGACCTGTTGGCTCCTGGTTCCACTACTTCTGATTCTAAGCTCAGCTCTCAACACTGCACATGTGGTTCCCTTACTTGTAAGGAGGGAGTAGAAGCAGTGCTTACCTACAGGGTGGCTGGAGCTTTCTGTTTGCCAGGCACTGTCAACTCTTCACATACCTGAAAAAGAACATAAAAAGAATACCTGTATCTCACAAGTGTCAAAACCAGTGAGTGAAATGACCAAGTGTCCTATTAGTGAACTGCAGTTTTTAACTTTTACATAAATAAACCTGCTTGACTTTGCTGAAATGTAGGTCCTTCTCTTCCCTTTAACCCTGTGTGACACTTATTGACATAACCATAAACTAGCGATTCTCAGAATATATTTTGGAAAATGAAATCTAGAAAATAAACTTCTGAAGTAACAGGGCCCAGGTCTTGTTTACTGACCAGTGTGGTGCCTCTTGTGTGCCCACCCCAAAGTGGAACCTGTTGACTAAATCCAGAGCCTCAGCAGCTCTCTGTCCCTCAGGTATTGAGCCTCCACGGGAGTCTTTCAACCGCTGGATGCTGGAGCGCAAGGTGGTGGACAAAGGATCTGACCCCCTGTTGCCGAGCAACTGTGAACCAGTTGTGTCACCTTCCATGTTTCGTGAAATCATGAATGACATTCCCATCAGGTACATCTCTGCAGCTGCACCGCTCAGTGCTGCCCAGTCATGTAGAAGGGCTCTAATTCTGCCCCCCTCTAACCCAGGTTATCCCGAATCAAGTTCCGGGAGGAAGCCAAGCGCCTGCTCTTTAAATACGCAGAGGCTGCCAGGCGGCTCATTGAGTCCAGGTGAGGCCGTCACTGCACCACACAGGATGGGTCTGTGGGCAGAGTGGAGGTCTCAGGCCAGTTGGCCTGTGCTCACACAGGCAGACAAGGGCTGGGAAGTGAGCCTGGGGGCTGATGCCCTGGACACCAGCGACGTGGAATTGGGAGGGGAGGGTGGCGCAGATACCCGAATGGCTGGGCCCTACACCCAGCTGAGCCTGCTTTCTCTCATCCTTGACTGGCAGGAGCGCATCCCCTGACAGCAGGAAGGTGGTCAAGTGGAACGTGGAAGATACTTTTAGCTGGCTTCGGAAAGACCACTCGGCCTCCAAGGAGGACTACATGGTGAGTGGACCCCAGGGTGAGGCCACTGGGAAGGCTCTCTGGCCACTTCCCTCCAGGAAACTCACTCTGCCTACCCAGGCTGGCAGGGCTCCTGTGGCAGCCTGTCCCGTGCAGTACCGCAGACCTTGACATTACCAGTCCCCAGACTCACGACTGTGGAGGCGTCTGTCTAGGCTCCTGGCTTTCTCCCCAAAGGACATCCCTCATCCCTTCCCTTCTTTTTTTTTTTTTTTTTTGGTACTGGGGAGTGAACCCAGGGGCCTTAACCAGTGAGCCACACTCCCTGCCCTTTTTACTTTTTATTTTGAGACAGGGTCTCACTAAGTTGCTTAGGGCCTCACTCAATTGCTGAGGCTGGATCTGAATTTGCAGTCCTCCTGCCTCAGGCTCCCGAGCTGCTGGGATTACAGGCGTGCGCCACCAAGCCCAGCTCCCTTAACATTCTTAACAGAACCTTAGGCTTGGCCACACACATATGGCTGCCTTTCCAACTTAATGAATGTTCAACATCTCCCAAGTAGATTTTTGGAAACAGATTGACAAACTGCTTTTCCTTGTGTGTGTTTATATTACAGTTAAAAGCTACCATCAGATTCAACTCCCTGCTCTTAATGTGTCCAGAACCATTCTGTTTTCTGGCCAAAACCTTTCACTTCTTAAGCCTCTCCACCAGCACTAGCAATGGGCTTTCTTTTCAGGACCATTTTTCACAAGAGACAAGGTTTCGCACTTCACGATAGTAACTGTGTACTTGACACGTAGAGAGTGACAAAGGTAGGTGTACTCACTAGCTGGAGTGACTCATTTTCACTCTGCAGTTTCACAGGCGTGATTCAGCAAAATTACAAATGCCTGCAGTCATCCTTGCAAGTAGCTGAAAGCTCAACTTCTAAATCCACACCAACCAAGCTCCTTGTTTTGTAATCACTGTGCCCTGATAGATGGAGCACAGATGCTGTGAGCTGGGACCACTGCCTGGCTGGTCTGTTCCCCTTGTAGTCATCATGGGGAACCCAACAGAAACTGCTGGCATTTGTTGGACACTTGTTGTATCCCAGGGGCCTGGTTACATTTAATGTTCAAACTGCCCTGTTAGGTATTTTGTGTTCCTTTGACCATTGAGGAGTAATATTCAGAGAACCTGAGGGATTTGTCTAAGGGACACAGCTAGTAAGTAGTGAAGCCAGTTTCAAAGCAAGGACTGCTGGAATTCAAGAGCCCTGCAGTTACTTGCCAGCCCCACTGAGGCCCTTTGGCCCCCACAAGTGTCTTGATCAGGAGTTTTCTCCAGGACCGCCTGGAACACCTGCGGAGGCAGTGTGGCCCCCATGTCTCAGCAGCAGCCAAGGACTCCGTGGAAGGCATCTGCAGTAAGATCTATCACATCTCCCTGGAGTATGTCAAGCGGATCCGAGAGAAGCATCTTGCCATCCTCAAGGAAAATAACATCTCAGGTAGGGGCGAAGTAGTGGGGAGCCTCTGTGATGCCACCAACTCTGTCCCACACCCTGACTGAAGGAACAAATAAGGCTGAGCCTCAAGGCCAAGGACAGGCTTGGGGGAGTGCATTTCTCCCCACAGTGTTTGGGGAGGGCCTACTGTGCCCTTTGGCTAGGAGCTCTCAGCACTCCTTGGGGAAATGCGGAGATATGATGAGAAAGGCCAGTAAGCAGTGAGGTGGACTGGATTTCTATCCACTCTCTGCAGGCCTCACTTTTCCCAGACTGAGGCATATTACCTGACCATAGGATCTTGAATACTCACATGCAGCCCAAATAAGCCACCTGGACCCCAGGGGTCCCCAAATAAGGTAGTATAACTATTATGTTGAAGGCAGAGTGATTCTCAAACCCGTGCCCAGCAGCAAGACCTTCGGCCCAAGCCTACTTGCACACTAGGCCCCAAGGCATGCCGAGTGGGGTCTGCATCAGTAGCTATATCCACAGCACATGGACACAGGCCACCGGTTTATTCCTCTGCCAACTGGTAGCTTTTAAAAATGTTTTTGGTTCCCTGTTACTGAAACTGAGCCACAATTAATTGATCCATGGATTGAAACTTCTCTCCCTCGGTGTAAAGTGCTTGGTCACATAGTAGATGCAGAGGCCATGGGGGAAGGACAGCCCCTCACTGCTCTCCCTGCCCACAGAGGAGGCAGAGGCCTCCGAGGTGGAGCCCCGCCTGGTGTACTGCTACCCAGTGAGGCTGGCTGTGTCCGCACCCCCCATGCCCAGTGTGGAGATGCACATGGAGAACAATGTGGTCTGCATCCGGTATAAGGGAGAGATGGTCAAGGTCAGCCGCAACTACTTCAGCAAGCTGGTAAGAGCCGAGGGAGAAGGGCCCTAGCTGATGGCATGAGTTGGGGCCTGGGATCTTAACCAAGTCCTCAGGAGGCGGCTAGTGACCAGGGTATGGGCCACTGCTGAAGTCAGCGCCTTGGTCTTGCAGTGGCTCCTTTACCGCTATAGCTGCATTGACGACTCCGCCTTCGAGAGGTTCCTGCCGAGGGTCTGGTGTCTTCTCCGACGGTACCAGGTACAGGCTTGGGGTCCCAGCGGGAAGGCTCCTCTTGGGGGAGGAGGGAGGCTGAGCCCAACACTCACTGAGGCCACTCTACAGATGATGTTTGGTGTGGGCCTCTACGAGGGGACTGGCCTGCAGGGATCACTGCCCGTACACGTCTTTGAGGCTCTTCACCGACTGTTCGGCGTCAGCTTCGAGTGCTTTGCCTCACCCCTCAACTGCTACTTCCGCCAGTACTGTTCCGCCTTTCCTGACACAGATGGCTACTTTGGCTCCCGCGGGTGAGAGCCAGGGGTGGTTGGGCCCCTTCTGCCCATGCCTAGGAAGCAGGCCGCCAGAGCATGGGGCCCACCTTGGCCCGCTGCTTCCTAATGTCTTAGGGCTTTGGAGTCAAGCAGCCTTGGAGGCAGTCCTTGCCTTCATCACTTACCAGCTGTGAGACCCTGGACAGGTGGCTTAACTTAACTCTGATAGCCTCAGCTTTTCGGGCTCTGTGGGCAGGCATGTGAATGCCCTGATCTGGTCTGGGGGCTTCTGGGTGAATTAGCTACATGGAGGGCAGCTCTGAGCAGTGTCCACCTCAGAGCCCTCACAGGTAAATTCACGGGGTGGGATGAGCACTGATGAAAGAACACAGCTGTGTTCAGGGGGAAGAAGTGGCCACAAGAGCAAGAGGCCACAGCTCAGTAGCCAGGGAGCCTTGGGTATGCCCTGTGCTGTGGCAACCGCAACTCAGCACAGCTGCTTCTCTAGTGTGGAGCACATGGCACCACAACATGCCTGAGCCTCTGTCCTCTCACCCATTCAGTGTACAGGGTCATGCCTTGTCCCAAGATACACGAAGGGCAAGTGTTAGCCTCTGGCCTGCCTATGGGGTATGGGGGTGACAGGTAGGTCCGATGGGACTGAGTGTTCACCTCTGGCCCTAGGCCTTGCTTGGACTTTGCCCCGCTGAGCGGTTCTTTTGAGGCCAACCCTCCATTCTGCGAGGAGCTCATGGATGCCATGGTCTCTCACTTTGAGGTGGGTGTGTCACCCTGCTGGGGGAGAGGCAGAATTGCCAGCCACCTGGAGGGCAGCCTCTGATGTCCACCCTGTTCTTCCTCCCACAGAAACTGCTGGAGAGCTCACCAGAGCCCCTGTCCTTCATTGTGTTTATCCCTGAGTGGCGGGAACCCCCCACACCAGCGCTCACCCGCATGGAGCAGAGCCACTTCAAACGCCACCAGCTGGTCCTGCCCGCCTTTGAGCATGAGTACCGCAGTGGCTCCCAGCACATCTGCAAGAAGTGGGTGCCCCGGGGGAAAGCAGGGCCAGGAGGGATGGCTGGCCAGGCCAGGCTCATCTGGCCTAGGCAAGCCCCACCCTGAGCAGCTGCCCACCTTGTCCACAGGGAGGAGATGCACTACAAGGCCCTGCACAACACGGCTGTGCTGTTCCTGCAGAACGACCCTGGCTTTGCCAAGTGGGGGCCGACGCCTGAGCGGCTGCAGGAGCTAAACGCAGCCTATCGGCAGTCAGGCCGCAACCATGGCTCCAGTTCCTCCTCCTCCTCCTCCTCCTCCGAGGCCAAGGACCGGGACTCAGGCCGCGAGCAAGGCCCTAGCCGCGAGCCTCACCCCACTTAACACACCCTGCAGGGAGGAGGAGCCCCAGGGGTGCTGGTATGGACTGCTGGGACATGGGCCTCTGGAGGCTGAGCAGATTCCAGGGCCCGCCCCTGGGGTGGCAGCAGGACTTGGGCTGCCAATGACATAGGAATCTTGTGGCTCTGCCAGGGCTCCCCCTCCCTGCCCATCCCCACTGCCTGCCTCAGACTCACTCCAAGTCCCTTGTAAATAGGCCCAATGCCCCCCTCACGCTGCCCCTGTTGGCGCCTTGTTTCATTTGTAAAAGGAAATACAGACACACACACACACACCCCGCCCCCGAACTTGTGAGGGTCTTGAGGACAGAGAAGGCTGAGAACCTGGAGCTACTTCTGGGACCAATTCCCTTTCATACCCAGGCTCACCTTCTCATGACCCCTGGGCCTTTACACCCCAACAAGGGATACAACTGGTCCCTGGTGGTGTCCACCTTGCATAACAGGTTGGAAGAACCCAGAGCCTGCACTGTTTAGCTCCAAACTCCATAGTTGGGCCTGCCCAGACCCTTCTGGGGAGATGACCAACAGCTATGCCTTGTACCCAGGCCAAAAGCCACTTGCTGGCCCTGGCGCCACCCTGTGAGTGGGCAGCTACATGTTTTATTATAGTCAAAGCTTAGAAGCGAGTCAGCCTCAGAGCTGCCTCAGACCTCAGGGTGTGGTGCCTACTCTCTAAGGACCTCTGAGCAGAGACCCCAGGGCAGAAAGCAGGCTGGAGGTGCTCGGCAAGGCTCCCTCCAGCTGGGCCTCTCCTGAGATGAGGCATCTGCAGTGAGGGTCTGCCCTGCGGTGGGACCACCGTACTTACAGAGGCAGGGCCAGCTGTGCTTCGGGGCCAGGTAGCCTCCACCTCACTCTCCCACCTGTGGTGGGCTCTTCCTGGCGCCTGCCTTCTGCTTCCTCGTCCTTGTCTGGTTCAGACTGTTAGCAGCAAGTGGACAAAATAAGATGGCCAGGGCTGGACTCTGGTCCCTTTATTGAGACTGAGGGACCAGTGGGTCCATCCAAACAAAAATAAAATTTCTTTCCCAAAGCCTGCCTGCAGGCTGGGCACCCAGCATGTCCTGGCTGGGGTCCACGGCTGCCTCCCAACCCCCTGAACACAGGTCTGGCTTTCTGGGGGTGACAGGATGCTGGCTGCCCAGTATCTGGAGACCTACGTGGGACAGGGAGGTGTATGCCCCCACCCCAGGAGAGCTGGCCCCGATATCCATGATCTGCGTTGGGCCCTTGGGCTCAGTCATCGGCCAGGGTGATGACGTCGTACTCGATGCCCTGATGCTGCAGCTGTTGTACGTGTTCGGGCACTGCCTCCTCTGTGCCAAACAGGCCCTGGGCTTGGGCCATGGCAGCATCAGCCACCGCTGCCAGGGGAGGGGAAAGCATGGTGAGCCCAAGGCCCCAGAGCTGCGTGTGGCCCCAGCCCCCATACTCCAGCCCTGTACCTGTGACGGCAGAGTGGGCTGCAGCCTCAAGCTGAGCCTGTGTGACCAGCTGCTGGCCTGGGGATACGGGCACATACTGGATCTGGAGGGGGAGAAACTGATGAGATGTGGTCCTGGAGAGGCTCTCCAGGCCCAGCCTGTCCAGTCCTGCAGTGCCCCACCTGGGACTCCTGGAGGAACGGGGCTCCTTGTTCATACTGGATGTGTGTGATCTGGCCCTCCTGTACCTGGAGAGAGGAAGCCGACCGTGACCCCCTGAAGGAGGCTGTACAGCCTTCCTCCCAAACCCACCTCACACCAGCCTGGCCTTACCTGGATGTGGTGGCCATCAGGGACCACAACATATTCCTGGGGCAGCAGGTGCTGGACACCATCCTGAGAGATGATATACTGTACCTACAGAGGAGCGGGGAGGAAGCAGATAATAGGGCCTCACTCACCAGGTGCTCGGCTGGGAAGGCAGGAGAACCAGGGACACCCGTGGCAGCTGCACACAGGGACCATGGGAGCAGTGGCATGGAAAGTACTGCTCTCCCCCAAGGTGGGGCGAGCATGGTGAGGAGGCACAGCAAGAGGTCAAGACTGAGGGGTGAGTAGGAGCTTACCTGGTTGTCCGAGGTCACCAGGTGCTGTACCGTCTGACCATCGGCTGTGGTGATCTCTTGGATGTAGGTGGCTTCCTCCTGCCAAGACCAAGCCAGCTCTAGCTTCAGCTCTGTCTGCCCCCATCCTGTCCATGACCTGCCAGCATGGCCCTTGGCCCTGGCTCTTACCTGATTGGTCACCGTCTGTTCCTGGGCCACAATAATGTGTTCCTGGCCCAGGGCCTGCTGTAGCCTCTCTGGGCCCAGGACCCCGTGACTGGACTGGAGGGCAGCTGGGTAGAGAGAGGAAGGTGCTCACCAAGGGGTTCTGGGGGGGTCTCGAGACTATCCCGGTCCAGAGATGCATTCTGGGACAGTGGCTCAAGTCTCTGGACCCTCCTGGTGCCCACCCTGTGGCCCCAGGAGCCACTCACTATGCAGCGTGGCCAGTGTCTCGTCGTCACTATTCAGGATGATGGTCTGGGTGGGGGTCCGTGCTGGGGTGCGGACTGTCGGGGTGCCAGACTTCCTCCCGTCAGGACTGTGCAGCCGCTGGATGTGGAACTTGAGGTGCCCGTTACGGTTGAAACTGCATAGGAAGGAAGGAGGCTCAGGGTGGCTCCGCCAGACGGGCCCAACAGCCCCTGCCCAGCCGCACCTGGCCTCACCGCTGCCCGCAGAGATGGCACGAGAAGGGCTTCTCATTGGTGTGGGTCAGCATGTGCCGCCTCAGGTCCTTCTTGTTCTTCGAGGCGAAGCTGCACTGGCTGCACTGGTGGGGCCGCAAGCTTGAGTGCTGTGCCATGTGGGCCTGCGGAAGGCACAGTCAGGGGCACCACTGGGTTAGGACAGATGGCAACAAGCCCCTAGGTCCTCGGAAGCAACTGGTCATGGAGCCAGCTGAACTGGACTGAGGGAAACCCAAACCCTGTAGGCTGTGAGGAGCTGGGTGGAAAAGAACACACCAAACCAAGACGGGGCGGCTGCAGCCCTGGAGTGCGAGGCCAGAGGCACCACCGTTAGGTCACTTGGAAAATCCTGTCCTGGCTCTATACAGATGTGACTGACAGGTGCAGCGTGAGGGAATCTGTGACATTGTAGAGCTTAGTCCTGCTTAGCTGGGCCTCGGCGGGGTTCAAGGTCCTAGCCCCTCAGTGAGCTAGGATGCAGTGCATGACTAGATCTGGAAACTGGATTCTTAGGCTAATGTTGGTATGGCTGGGCCTGGTCTACACCTGTCACACCAGCAAGTTGGGAGGCCAAGGCAGGAGGATGGAGACCAGTCTCAGCAACCTAGGCCTTATGTGACTGAGACAATGTCTCAAAAACTAAAAAGGGCTGGGAAATAGCTCAGTAGTAAGGTGCCCTGGGATCAGTCTGGAGAAGTAGTACTGGAGAAGAGTTCAACAAGAGATGCACCTGGGAGCTGCCCTGTGTGCCTGCACAGCACCCCGCTGCCAGCCTCCAACACAGCTCAAGCTCCCCACCCACCCTGTCACCCTCTACACCTGTGCCCACGCAGACCCAGCTCCACCATCACTTGTGTGGCGTCCCCCTCAGCAGGACTCCCCAATCCTCCCCACTGACTCGCACTGTGCGGCACTCCCTTGCCTCACGCTGTCTTCACACTGGGAATGCTGTCTGGCCTTACTTAGTCTGGCTGGCCTCTGACCACACTGAGCTTCCTAAGAGGCGGGACCTTGCTGAGGGGTTGCCTTTAACTAAAGGACACAAACTCATGGCCAAATGAATGACAGCAGAGGCATGGTGGGGGTAGCACTTACCCGGACCTCGGGCCACTGGCGGGCACTGAAGGGGCAGTCAGGGCACTTGAAGGTGCCAGGCCCAGCATGGGCCCGTTTGTGACTCTCCATCTCAGCTCGGCCAGGGAAGGCCTCAGCACAAATCTTGCAGGAAAACTTTTTTGATGCTGCAGTGGCTGCAGATGGTGGGGAAGGGGGCACTGCCAGGCCCAGGGTTTTGCTGGCTGCAGGAGGTGGGGAGGCAGAATGCTGGGAGTCCCCTACCCGGAGGGTCTTGGCTGGAGACGGTGGCTCGGAACCATCTCTGGGCAGCCCCCCACATTGCAGAAGGGGCCACTTGGCTCCAGAGGCCAGGGCATCTGAGCTGGGGAAGGAGATGGAGCCATCTGCAGTCAACTGTGGAGAGATCACAGCACAATATGAGGTGCCAGGGAAGGGCTGGGAGGGGCTGGAGATTGGGGCCAGCTACTGCAAGACTCACCTCGATGTGGTGCAACTGGGTCCCATCAGCAGCCATGATGTAGTGGGTGCCAGCTTCTTTGAGGGTGTCACTTACAACCACAGCCTGGGCTGCCTCCCCTGGGGGCTCTTCACTGAGGGCACAGAGAAGGGGATGGTGAGATGGAGTTCTGGGTGAGGATGAGGGCCACAGGAAGCCCCTCCCCCAGGCAGCCAGCATCAACCCCTTCCTCAGACAACTGCCATTACAGATGATCTGGACATCACCGGATGAACCCTGGGGCTCTGCCCTGTGCCAGCTGAGCCTCTGCTGTCTCTTCTGTAAATGGTTATCAAGTGCTCAATAAACTGTACTGCTCAAAAAATGGTCGGCTCTGTCCCTTTGATGGGCAGGAGGCAGCCAGGCAAAGAGCCCCAGGAGTCTGACCCAAGTCTGGCCAGTGGGATAGGAGAGGGCTGGGCAGGAACAAATGGGTGGATCTGCCACCATGAGCCTGGTCCCTATGGAGGCAGGGCCAACTAGGACCTGCAGCCAAGAGCACAGTGAAGATGCAGAGGCAGCCTGCCCAGGGCTGCAGAACTCCGGCTCCCGCAGTGGCCGGAGTTCCCCAAGCATGTTAACATCTCTGCTCACACTCACTCACTGAAGGGAAGCCAAGTGCAGGTTAGACCTCAAATGTGGGCAGCACCTTGACCATCGAACACGAAGGGCACTTGGGATTAGAAACCAGAGAGACCAGGCTTCACAGCCTTACTCCCCCGTGTTGACTTAGTCCACTTACTTGACCTCCCTGGCCTACTTCGATGTTTATAAAGGAGGGAGACATGGATCTCACAGGAATGAGCTAGATGAGATTCGGATATCAAGTTCCTTGAACAGCTAAGTGGCCAAAGAATGGAAGCTCCTGACCCAAGGACAGAATCTTCCAGCAGCCTGTGACTTCCTACTACCTAGGGTGAGTGGGATGGGCCCAGACCTGACTGCCACAGCACACCTTCAGAAGGTGGTATGGGCCTTGCAGAAGACACATCTCACCTGTAAGGTGTGCCAGGAGCCGATGTCCCCTCCTCCATGGTGGGTGCTGTGATGACACTGTAGCCAGCTCCACCAAATGGACCAGGTGCCAAGGTGATCTGCTGTAGATCAGGAGTGCCTAGCTGGCTCTCAGCAGCCACACTGCCCCCAGGCTCTGCCACATGGAGGGTGACCACCTGTGGAGTGGTGTCTTCGGGGGAGGGCTGCCCACCAGAAGACGCTAACCCTGCTTCCACGTCCTCTGACTTCACCACGGCCACCTGCAATGGCATGACTGGGCATGATGGGCAGAGCCTGGCAAAGGAGCTGATAAGACCCTCCTCCATCTCAGCGCCTCGAGGCTCATCCACACTCTGGCCAGATCCGGTGCTGTCACCACTCATGTGCACAGCCCAAGTTTTCTAAAACACACCCTGGTTTTCCAAATCCCATTTAGCACCTGGAAAGAGCTAATAATAATGGGACAGTAACAGTACTCTCTAGGGGACATTTGACAATGTCCAAAGACATTTGTTTGTCACAACTAAAGTAAGATGTCACTGGAATATAGTTGGTAGAAGCCAGCTGCTAAACATCTCACACTTCCCAGGACAGTACCCACAACAGAGAATTATCTGGCTCAAAATGTCAATAGTGGTGGGTGTGGTGGCACATGCCTGTAATCCCAGTGGCTTGGAAGGCTGAGGTAGGAGGATTACAAGTTCAAAGCCAGTCAGTCTCAGCAACTGAGCAAGGCTCTAAGCAACTCAGCAAAACTCTGTCTCAAAATGAAAAACAAAAAAGGCTAGGGGTGTAGCTCAGTGGTAGAGCACCCCTGGGTTCAATCCCTAGTACTAAAAGAAGAATAAAAAAAGAGTTCTTGTAAAGTAATAACAAAGATAATAGAAAAAGAGACGGAGGATACAAGCAGGTGATTCAGGAAAGGAGCAAAATGGTCTTTGACAAACATATGAAGAAGTCCAACCTCAATTACAATCCTGTTTTAAACTAAGACCATGAAATGTGCCTCCATCAGATTGCACTGCTTGAATTAGTGAAAAACTAGAAAAAACCCAACCAATAAAGAACTGACTAACTGCCAGAACATCTATGTAATGAATGAAGAGCATGGCGTGGAGACGTGGAAAACGAGATTCGGAGGCACTGGGTGCTGCTGAGGAGCATAACTGGTGTGATCCCATTTTTTAAAGAAATGAACGTCTAGGGTTGTATGTGTAGATGGGCAAGATCCTAAAGAAGTTCTTACTCTGTTAACTGGTATCCAAAGAAGGGAGGGTGTTAAGGACTTCACCTTGTAGATTGGACAGTTCCTAGATATGGTTTTTTCCCAAGTGTATGTATACCTTTTTTGTGTGTGGAGGGGGACACCAAGGATTGAAGTCAGGGCCATGTGACCACTGAGCCACATCCCCAGCCCTATTTTTTGTATTTTATTTAGAGACAGGGTCTCACTGAGTTGTTTAGCACCCTGCTTTTTGCCAAGACTGGTTTTGAACTTGCGATCCTCCTGTCTCAGCCTCCTGAGCCAAGTGTATGCTTTTATAATTAGAAAACAAAACACATGCGACAGGCGTCTGAGCAGCAATCAACAGGACAACCAGAAAGTCCCGACACTCACCCACACATGTGGAATCCAGCCCATGATAATGGGGCCCTTTCAAACCATAGGGATACGATTTTTTAACATGCTTTGTCAGACAACTTTTGGAAAAAATTAAGTTAGACCCCTACTACCTTTCTGTATACACCAGAACCAAATTCTAGGTGGAATAAAGATTCAATTGTGAAAAATAAAACCCTAAGAAAAAATACAGATGCATGTTTCTATGCTCTTAGAGTAAAGGTTGGGGTAGGTCTTTCTAGGGATCATATCAAGGGCAAAACCCATCAGCTATATAAGAGCGTAAACTTCTACATGGCCCCGAACACATGGACTCTATTCCATGACCATTTCCAGGCCACGCGAGCCCTTCTTCGCAGACCCTCTGTCTTCTCTGCCTGGCTCAGCAGCATGTTACTGCTCCAAGTTTTTAGAGCTCATCATCTGTAACGCACATGCTCCATCTTTCCCAGGGTCTGGGACAAAGGAGGCACTAGCAGACGCCCTCTGCCTTGGAGGTGGCCTGGATGTGTGGGGGCAGAGAGGAGTGTGGGTGATCCCTGGCAGTGGGTGGAGGAAGGAAGGGGTGAGGATGAGGACGATGAACTGAGGGTGGGGTGCAAACACGCCAGTCACTGGAGTGCGAGAGAGGCCCGAGCTGGGCAGTCTCGAGAGTCTGTGGCTGCAGTAGGTGGCTTGGGACTTGTTGAGAGGGGAAGCTTGTTCAGACCCTGAGGGAGCATCCGCAGGAGCAGGGTAGCCACAGAGCGAGGAGGAAAACCAAACGAGAATAGGGCCCAGAGGCCACAGGCAACATCACCTCTGCTCAGAATGGCAGAGGTCACTAGGAATTGGAGAGTGGAGAGAGATCCCCTGCCCTCCTTGGTCTCCTAGAGCCCCCCGGCTGTGAGCCAGGTCCCCGAGTCTGCCCACCAGATTTCAGTGGGCCTGTGCCCCCACTAACTGGGAGCTTCCGTGGGCAGGGCAGGCCCGGGTTGCTGCTCTCCGTTCCAGGACCCAGCATGCAGCTGGGTGCCGGGTGGAGGCCCAGGCAGCTCACCTGCAGGGCTGTGCCCCCCAGCTCCCGCTGGGCACTCATGTTCAGCAGCAGATCCAGAGCCGTCTGGGTGGCCATTGCAGTGGACTCCTCAGCTCCTGGGTGAGGTGACACCTGAGCTTAAGAGAGGGCTGGCACCCAGCACCCGCTCCACGCTGTCCCCCACCAGCACTACTACCCTAACCCTGCGCTGCCCACCTGGAGCTCCCAGCCTCCCAGAGCTCACCTTGCTGGTAGATGATGGTGGCACTGCCCAGAGTGTCAGAACAGAGAAGCGGGGGAGTCTCAGGCACCTGGAAAGGTGCTGCCTCTGCGGGGATCTGTGGAGTGAGGACAGGACCGAGCCTGAGGGGGGTGGCCCAGATTCAAGCGCCACTCATGAGTGCCCTGGAGGTGTCAGCATTTCACCTCTCTTGGCTTGTTCACCTTCTAGCCACTCTTCCAGAAATGCTGACCAGTTCAATGCTCAGACGGACTGACCGAGGCTCAGAGAGTGACTGGCTAAGAAGGGCTAGGACTGGAACCAGGACCGTCCACCTCTGGCGCCTGTGTTCTACCAGCACACCACGTGCTCCATGTTTTCTGGGGCAACTGCAGGCACTCACGTGGCAGAGAAGGAGAGCCACCAACCCAGAATCCATCCTTCCCTTCTTTCTTGCTAACATCACTCTGAGTTTCACCACAGGAGGAACATACTCAGCTTGAAGACTACATCTCTCAGCCTCCCTTACAGCTAGGTAAAGTGTGGCCACACAGCTAAAAAAGGGACTTCTGGTAAAGTTCGAGGGAAAGATAGAAAGGCAGATGGCAGGTATCCTTTTGACCTTTCCCCCATCCCTCCCTCTTGCTTCCTCTATGGGATGTGGCTGAGAAGGCTGGTGTTTCTACAACCGACTGGACCATGGGCAACCGCAAGATGGAAGTTATATGTCTAGGAAGGCTGAGTGACAGTGCTGACAGCCCGGTCCTCTGGAGCTGCCACACGGGTCCCCGACTCCTGACCTTTGGAATTCTGCCTGCATTTCCCTTCTCTCCACGTATACTGGAAGCCATGCCTGCTCTAAGCCTGAGGTGGCACACCTGACTCAGCTGGCCTTTATCACAGTGTAAAGGGCAGGGATTGTTCCGCTGAACCCCAATGTGTAAAGGAAGACACTGAGGTCAGGAGAGGTGGCATCACACCTGGCCCTCGCCCCAAAGCCCTCCACTGCCACCTGCTCACCTCAGGAGGCCCCGGGGAGCCGGGGGGTGGCCCAGGGGCTGCGCTGTGCTGCTGCTTCAGTTCCTCAATCTGTTGCAGGGAGAAGAAGGGGCGGCGGCGGGAGGGGGGCTCCTCGGGGTGGCGCCGCCCCCACTCCTCGAAGCTGCTCGCGTGACGGCAGCGCACGTGCAGGCGCAGGTTCTTCTTGTGGCGCGTGCTGAAGTGGCAGTACTCACAGGCAAAGGGCTTGGCTCCTGTGGGCACAGCGGGGAGTGCTCCCTCACTGCCCCCAGGAGACCGTCCCCAACCCGGGACCTCTCCGCTGCCACTCCCAGCAAATCATTCCTGTGCTTCTACAGTGGTGGCCAGGACGGCAATGGATCAGGCCACCAGCTGCACTCAGTCTTCCTAAGAGTGACAGTTTCCAAGGTCACATGGCCACACCCCCCAGGGAAAAGTGAACCTGGCTAAGGGAACTCCAGCTCTTTCTCTGCTCCCCAGTGTGCCGACCAGCGGCTGGGCGGCAAGGGGACAGAACACCGCCTTCTCCACGCCGGGCCTGCCTGCTGCACTGCGGAGCCCGGGTGAGACCTGGCCGCGCAGGGAAGGCCCGTTCACACCTGAGGACTAGGTGCTCCCAGGCTGGGCTGCCACGGAGAGGAGCCTCCGACCTGGGTCATGGGGAACTGAGGGTGCGGGGCGGGTTGTGCCAGCCTGACCTGTGTGCTTGACAGCCACGTGGGACAGCAGGAAGTCCTCCCGGAAGGTACGGTAAGGACAAAAGCTGCATCTGAAGGGCTTGTCGCTGACGTGGGAGAGCTGGTGGTTCAGCAGTGCCTTCTTGTCCTCACAGACGAACTCACAGAACTCACACTTAAACCTGGGGCGGAAAGAGGGGGGAAGCTCAGCAAGGGGAGGGGTGCTCCCATCACCGGGGGACTCGGCGGGACGTACCTGCGGTTGGCGACAGCCTGGATGTGTGTGAGCAGGTGCATTTTGAAGGTGTAGCGCTTCTTAAAGGACTTTCCACACTGCAGGGGATGGATGGAGTCAGAGGGGGAAGGCCTGGGGAAGGCCCTCGTCCCTACCCAGGGCTTGGCCCACTCACCTTGTCACACATGTGGGGCTTCTCAGTGCTATGCGTCTTCATGTGCTGTGTCAGTCTCTTCTGCATGGGGTACACGCGGCCGCACACAGGGCAGGGGAAAGAGCTCAGTTTTGGGGTCTGGGAAGACATGAGAGGAGGCCAGATGAAGAGGACAGAGAAAGAGAAGAGAGAAGGGTCAGACTTCACCTCTTGCCCACTGCTGGTCTCAGCCCTGGCCCCCAGGCAGGATCCTCCCAGGTCAGGGCCCCCACTCACCGGGTCTGGCCTCTTCTTCCTAGGAAAGGAAGACCCAGGAGTTAAGGCTCAGCCTCCTCAGCCCGCATGCGCCCTCACATCCCCCGACTCCATCTTAGTCCTAAGTTCTTCTCTTCCCCCCTAAGATCCTTCCTCAGGTTTCCGGGATAGGGTTCACTAGGGACAATGCTGAGAGACATGCTGTGACACGTCCTGCACTTGGCCACCTTGGGAAACCATCTCCCTTCCCAATCACAAAGTACTGAGAAAGTCCCACAGGAAAGAGCTGTGGGGTGACAGGCACCCGCCTGGTGGTCCCAATCTTACCTGGCCCCCAAATTGCCTTCCATTCCCCCCGCATCCCCTTCCCTTTCCTTCCTTCCTTTCCTCTTTCCTTCTATCCCCCCACATCCCACTGCTGGGGACGGAACCCAGGGGCTTGCCTCCACTCAGCTATACCCCAGCCCTTTTATTTTGAGATAGGGTCTAAACTGCCCAGGCTGGCCTTGAACTTGTGACCCCTCCTGCCTCAGCCTCTCAAGTAGCAGAGATCACAGGTGTGCAATCCCACACCTGGTTTTTAAGGAAACCCACAGGCATCCTGGAAAGCCGACTTCTCTCTCCACAGACCCACTCTGAGCCAGGGCCCCAGTGGTCTCCCCCAACCTGCTCACACATTGCTCCCAGGGAGACCATCCCTTGCGGAAGCTGCAGACCTGACTGTAATTTGGTGAGCAACCACCAGTCTCCAGGCACACCTGCTGCTTCTGGTCCTAGGTCTGTTCTCAGCACTGACAGAAGTGTGATGCGGAGCGCACAGGATCGCTCATCATTTACAGAAACCCCAAGCACAAAATTCCCTTCAATCCCCTCAACTGTCCCCATTTTCCAGATGAGAAAAGAAAGCAGATGGGGGCCCCAAGGCCTCACTCCTGCCCTATCCTAGCGGACCTGACGGGAATAATCACCCTGGCTTCCTGGTCCTGTCTCTAATTCATTGTGAATCGGGTGGGCCCGGAGCAGGAGTGTGGTAACTGGGAACCATGGTGAACCTCCACCTTCCCCACTCAGCAGCCCCTCCCCACCACCCCACACGCACCGACCTGTCTCGGCTGTGAACAGCTGCATGCCGAATGACGTCCTTGCGATAGACACTGGTGTAGCTACACTCGTCACACTTGTAGGGCTTGCTGCCCACGTGGTTGAACATGTGCTCCTGCAGGAGAGGCAGAGACTGGCTGGGCCCGGCTTCCCCTGCGTGCACCCACGGCCGTGGGGTTCCACGGGGCTCACAGACCAAGGGTGTGCAGGCAGCAGGCGCGTTACAAGGGCCAAGGCCTGTGAAGGCTGGGCACTCTCCCCAGCAAGAGCACCCACTATGCGCCAAGCCTGTGCCAACTTGCCATCTGATAAAACAGGAAACAGCTCCGGGTGAAAGGCCCTGAGATGCAGAGCCTGGAGCGTGGCTAGGCGGCCCGGCTCTTCAGCTCCGCCCTCCCCACTGTGCTGTGGAACACCCCTGTGGCGTCCACAAAACAACTTCCAGGTCAGGGTCCCTGTCTGCAGGAAGCAGTACAAAAAGAAAGCCTGTGACTCGGACCCCAGTGCCTGACGTACCCCCACAGCTGCGACCTGCCACAGCACACTGGCCGGGCCAAGTAGCAGCTTGCCGGGACAGTAAAATGGGGCTCCTGAAACCCTGCACCTCGTGGGCCATGTGAGGACAAGATTAGCCAGACCAAGACGGGCTCGGGGCTGCTGCAGGCCCACGTGGCACCCTGGGTTAGGGGAAAAGGAGCCCCTTTCTCGAGACACATCGCTGCCCTCTGCTGCAAAGCTCCAACACTGACCGAAGAGGCCACTCCCGCCAGAGTGGGGTGGCAACAAGCAAAGCTATGACATCCACAATGGGAATGGTACCGGTGAAAATAGGGTGTCACTAGGCCACCTCCACACCACCTCAGCAGCCCTCTGCAGGCCCCTCCCAATGTCCCAGTGAGGCTAGAAGGACTACTGCTTTGCACATGCTGAGGCCAGAGGTGTCCTGAGAGGAAGGGACAGGTGCAGCATGCTCAGGCCACCCGCCCCAGCACCACCAGTGGCCTCTGCCTGCTTCTGCGTCTCCCCTTCCCCCTGCTGCGGCACCTTGAGTGAGGACCAGCGGCGGGAGCGGTAGCTGCACTGCAGGCACTTGAAGAGCTGGGGGTCACCAGCCTCGTGGGAGTTGACGTGGAAGCGCAGGTCCTCATGGGACAGGAAGCGTGAGCCACAAATGCGGCACAGATAGGGCCGCAGAAGCGGTTTGGGCGACTTGTAATAATACCTGCCAAGAGGGTGTGGGGAGAGGTCTGCTGGGAGCTCCAGGGGACCCCAAGGAGCCCCTCACCCGCCTCTTCCCCCTTAGCTCTGCTCCGCGTACTTTCGGTATTTCTTGCCCAGAAATCGCCGTGAAGGTCGACCACGGCGGCGCGGTGGGGCATCGGGCTCCTCCTGGCAGGATGGGGCTGCAATCTCTGTGTCTGACTGGCTCACACCAGGCTCCATGGTGACCTTGCCGGCCTTGCCCAGGGCCTCCAGGTGTCCGGGGCCTGAGGAGCTGGGAGCCTCAGGATCTGGTGGCCCCAGAGGGCTCTTGGTGCTCTGCGAGCTCACTAGAGGATCTCCCCCACCTGCTACAGACGTGCAGGTCACAGATCAGCCAGATGCACAGGACTGATGTGGACAGGCGGGCCAGAGGCCAGCCAGATAACCCCACACCCAGTCACGGACCACCAGTGCACACACTGGGTCACCTGCAGACCACCCAAGGTCAGAGAGGCAGGCTTAAATGGGACAGTCTGGGGTGACAGCAAGGGATCTGGGGACCTCCCAGGCAGGATGCTGGGCTCGTGTCAGCTCCTCACTGACTGCTGTGCGTTCTCAGGAAACGTCACCGCCCCTCCAAGCCTCATTTGTCCTATCTGTCGAGTGGTCTACTGTGGGCTTGGGAAGTGACAGCAGTGCTCCACTGCTGGCCTTCCCAGGGAGGCTGTGGCCAGGGGCCAGTGGGAGGCAGGGAGGAGGAGGCACTGTGCCGCTCACACCCTCTGTAGGGAAGCCATCTGAGTGTGTCACCTCTTCAACCAGTGCCGAGTCGGCCACTTTAAGAACCAAACCTCACAGATGAGAGGTGGGAGGTGGCGGGCATGCGCCAGGTTCTCCCCGCACTGCGGCTCTAGCTGTGGTCCCCATGGTCTCAGGCCTCAGGTTTGTGATCTCGGTTCAGTAATATTTACACTTGGTGACTGTTCAGTTACAGAGACCCACACGCCTCTTCTGCTGTGACAACTTGCCACTGGACGTCACCTTCACAAGCTGTGCTAGAGCTTCCCTGGCTGGGGCCTGGAGAGCCTGTGGGCCAGCCCAGGCAAGGCTGCTGCCCTGCGGGCAGACTCAGTGCTCCACGGGAGCGCGCAGGGAGGAAGGCCACCCTTGACCCACTCTCAACCCTGCCCGTGACCAAGTCTCACCAGCAGACAGGTCTGAGGTCTCCAGACGAGGCAGCTTCCGGGGCCGGCCAGGTCTCCGTCGTGGTCTTGGGGAACTGGGTGTGGGACGCTGGAGCCGAAGCTGCCGGCCTCGGGGCTCATCCTCAGCTGGATTGTAGTCGCTGTCCTCTATGGGGACAGGAGGACAGTGGCTGGGCCTGCCCTTCCAGCTCTGACCCCTAGGCTGGCTCCCCTGGGAAGAGGCCACCTCCCCATCTCTGCCTGCTCCTCCCCCAAGCCTACCAGTAAGACCCCCCAGGAAGCCCTCCTGGGCCCCATAGACTGCCAGCACCTCCCTCCAGGCCACTGTCTTCTCTGCGTCCTTCCTGGCACCTGCTGAGCTCGAGCAGTATCTCTACGTGAAGCAGAAAACAGCACCCCTTCCTCAAGACAGTCACCAGAAAACCGCTGCAGCGAACAGGAGTCCACAAACTGCACCACTACCCAGCGGCCACCAGCCAAGACGGCCACCGAGCACTTAAAAAGTGCCTCCTCCAACCCAGCACAGTGGCACAGGCCTGTCATCCCAGTGGCTCAGGAGGCTGAGGCAGGAGGATCTCGAGTTCAAAGTCGGCCTCAGCAAAAGTGAGATGTTAGGGGCCGGGGATGTGGCTCAAGCAGTAGCGTGCTCGCCTGGCATGCGCAGAGCCCTGGGTTTGATCCTCAGCACCACATACAGATAAAAAATAAAGATACGTGTCCACCTAAAACTAAAAAATACATATATATATATATATATATATATATATATATAT